TACTCAGGAGGCTGAGGCAGGAGAATTGCCTGAACCCAGGAGGCGGAGGTTGCGGTGAGCCGAGATTGCGCCATTGCACTCCAGCCTGGGTAACAAGAGCGAAACTCCGTCTCAAAAAAAAAAAAATAGAGGAAACTGGGGATCACTTGAGGTCAAGAGCTCAAGACTAGCTTGGCCAACATCCATGCCCCCCCATCCCCCACCCCCGTCAAAAAAAAAAAAAAGAAAAGAAAAAATAGAGGAAACTGGATGTGGTGGCTCATGCCTGTAATCCCAACACTTTGGCTCAGCAGTTTAAGACCAGCCTGGGCAACGTGGCAAAATCTACTTTAAAAATACTAAATTTAACTGGGCATGGTGGTGGCACACGCCTACAATCCCAGCTACTCAGGAGGCTGAGGTGGAAAAATCCCTTGAGCCTGGGATGGGGAGGTTGCAGTGAGCAGAGATCACGCCACTGCACTCCAGCCTGGGCAACAGAGTGAGACGCTGTCTCAAAAACAAACAAAAAAAGCCAGGATGCCGGGCGCGGTGGCTCAAGCCTGTAATCCCAGCACTTTGGGAGGCCGAGGCGGGTGGATCACGACGTCAAGAGATCGAGACCATCCTGGTCAACATGGTGAAACCCCGTCTCTACTAAAAATACAAAAAAATTAGCTGGGCATGGTGGCACGTGCCCGTAATCCCAGCTACTCAGGAGGCTGAGGCAGGAGAATTGCCTGAACCCAGGAGGCGGAGGTTGCGGTGAGCCGAGATCGCACCATTGCACTCCAGCCTGGGTAACAAGAGCTAAACTCCGTCTCAAAAAAAAAAAAAAAAAAAAAAAAAGACAGGAGCGGTGACTCACGCCTATAATCCCAGCACTTTGGGAGGCCAAGGCAGGCGGATTATTTGAGGTCACGAGTTCCAGACCAGCCTGACCAATATGGTGTAACCCCATCTCTACTAAAAATACAAAAATTAGCCAGACATCGTGGCGGGCGCCTGCAATCCCAGCCACTCGGGAGACTGAGGCAGGAGAATCACTTGAACCCGGGAGGAGGAGGTTATAGTGCACGGAGATCAGGCCACCGCACTCCAGCATGGCCAACAGAGCCAGACAATTTCTCAAAAAAAAAGGAAACTATTTCTAATCCAGTTTTAAAAGAGTTTTTCCAGAAACAAGGGTATCCCAGACCATCGAGATAAGATATACAGATACGTCAAAGGAAATGAAAAATATTTAGCAAACAGTGCCTTCAAAAACGTTAGCTGCCATTATTATTACCATTATCATATTCTATCAAATGTAAGCTGCCAACAGTTGTAAAACAAATATTTTATTTATTGTTAAGAAAAAATGCTGAAATCAAAAACAATGGTTTCTAATTGCTTAGATTTGTTATGTATACTTACAGAAACAGCTCTTTTAATCTTATTTAGATATAGATTTGTATCTTACCTTGTACTGCTGTTTCCATGTTTTTCTGTAAACACAAAAACTTTTCAATGCCAAATTATAGGGTAATCTATTTGGAGATATATTAAATAGCAATTAAAAATAACACAAGTACTGCCAAAATTGCACAGAGCTCAGTCAAAGTGATGACATCATGAACTGCTACGACTCAATCTACATATGAGCAATTGGCCAACATCTCCTGATTTCAGACATTAAATGTGCATCATATCATCAATGATACAGAGTATTATCATTGTTATTAAATACATGGTGGCCAGGTGCGGTGATTCACATCTACAATCCCAGCACTTTGGAAGACCAAGGTGAGGGGATAGCTTGAGCTCAGGAGTTGGAGACCAGCCTGGGCAACATGGTGAAAACCCGTCTCTACCAAAAATACAAAGAATTAGCTGGGCATGATGGCATATTCCTGTAGTGCCAGCTACTCAAGAGGCTGATGTAGGAGGATTGCTTCAGCCCGCTGGGCAGAGGTTGCAATAGCTGAGATTGCACCACTGGTCTCCAGCCTAGGTAACAGAATAAGACCCTGTCTCAAAATAATAATAACATAAATAAATAAGTAAATAAATAAATAAATCGATGACTTTAGGGTTTGTTGCACTCCAAAAATGAGAGGAACTTCAGTTCATGTTGAAAGTAAAATGTGTGCAGGGAACAGGAAGAAGCAATAAAAATAAAGTTGAGACCCCACATGGTGCCTCATGCCTTTAATCCCAGCATTTTGGGAAGTGGTAGGTGGGAGGATCACTTGAACTCAGTAGTTCCAGACCAGCCAGTGCAACATGAGACCCTGTCTCTATATTTACAAAAGAAAAAAAAAGAAAAAAGAAAAAAAAATTTACATGGAATTTAGTTCTATCACCCAGGCAAGATTGTGGCTCACTACAGCCTCCACCTCCCAAGTTCAAACAATTCTCCTGCCTCAGCCTTATGAGTAACTGGGATTACAGGCATGTGCTACCACACCCAGCTAATCTTTCTGCATTTTTAGTAGTGGCAGGGTCTCACCATGTTGCCAAGGCTTGTCTCAAACTCCTGACCTCAAGTGATCTGCCTACCTTAGCCTCCCAAAATGTTAGGATTACAGGCACGAGCCACCATGCCTGGCTATATTAATTTTTTTTTTTTTTTTTGAGACGGAGTTTTGCTCTTGTTACCCAGGCTGGAGTGCAATGGCGCGATCTTGGCTCACCGCAACCTCCGCCTCCTGGGTTCAGGCAATTCTCCTGCCTCAGCCTCCTGAGTAGCTGGGATTACAGGCATGCGCCACCATGCCCAGATAATTTTTTTTGTATTTTTAGTAGAGACGGGGTTTCACCATGTTGACCAGGATGGTCTCGATCTTTCGACCTCGTGATCCACCCGCCTCGGCCTCCCAAAGTGCTGGGATTACAGGCTTGAGCCACCGCACCCAGCCTAAATTTTTTTTAATTATAAATAAATTTGAGAAGTTGACATAGGTAACTTCTCAATAAGCCAGATTGGTACAGAAACAAGAACACACATTCTTTAATGTTGAATTAAAAAACTGTCTTTATTGTATTGATGCCATCTTCCTTTGATTTTTATTATTGCATATGAGAATACATTAAGGTTCTCCTGCGAATGAATCCTGATGCTTCAATCTTCTCTGTCTCTTGCCTAACAGCAGCCAACTTAATAACTTCTTCTTTACCTGTTGGTTCAGCAACAAGAGACTCAATGGTCTGGGGACAGTCTCATTACATGTTCAATGTGATGAATAATGACTATGTTCTCTAGGGGAACTGTTCCTGCCTTGAGGACTAAGCATTCCAAACCTACTGAGCCCAAGAATTCATAAATGAATTATTAGGTGTAAAAGAGAGAGGAACTGCTCCTACCTCCACCCCTTGATACCCAGACCCATGTTCTAACTGTGGGAGAAACTGTACTATATTTTAGCTGTTGGTATAAGGCATATACCACAAACATGTAAGACAGCAACCCAAGCTCACAAAGTGTTGGCTCTTGGCTAGCTATATCTCCTGGCTAGCTATAACTGAATCTGCAAAAGGTCATTATATCGCTTTATTATAGTATCTACATCTAAGTGATAGGGTTTCTGGAAAGACCAAGAAGTTTCTTTTTTTTTTTTTTTTTTTTTTTTTTTTTTTGAGACGGAGTTTTTGCTCTTGTTACCCAGGCTGGAGTGCAATGGCGCGATCTCGGCTCACCGCAACCTCCGTCTCCTGGGTTCAGGCAATTCTCCTGCCTCAGCCTCCTGAGTAGCTGGGATTACAGGCACGCGCCACCATGCCCAGCTAATTTCTTGTATTTTTAGTAGAGACAGGGTTTCACCATGTGGACCAGGATGGTCTCGATCTCTTGACCTCGTGATCCACCCGCCTCAGCCTCCCAAAGTGCTGGGATTACAGGCTTGAGCCACCGCGCCCGGCTAAGAAGTTTCTTAACTACAATTTTCTCAGCATAAAATAAGCTCTTTAATCAGAAGCAATGTGTGAAATACTACCATAATTAATGAGGCATTCATAGATAATGGGGCTGGCAGAAATATTGCAGGTAGGAAGTCAAATCTGAATTTGGAATTCTTTCTTTTCTTTTTTTTTTTTTTTTTGAGATGGAGTTTTGCTCTTTTTGTCCAGGCTGGAGTGCAGTGGCACAATCTCAGCTCACCACAACCTCCGCCTCCTGGATTCAAGTGATTCTCCTGCTTCAGCCTCCTGAGAAGCTGTCTCATTTTGTTGCCTAGGCTGGGGTACAGTGGTGTGATCGCAGTTCACTGCAGCCTCAACTTCCTGGGCTGAAGTCATCCTCCCACCTCAGTCCCCTGAGTAGCTGGCACTACAGGCCTGTACCACCATGCCTGACTAATTTACATTTTTTTGTAGAGACAGGGTCTTATTATGTTGCCCAGGCAACATAATAATAGTGAGTTTGAGCTCAAATGAGCTGAAGTGATCTGCCCACCTAGGTATCCCAAAGCTCTGGGATTACTGGGATGAACCAACATGCCCAGCCAGGTCTTTTAAAAATATCTCCATGTACCTGCTTCATATGCTCAATTTTTCCACTAGCTTCTTTAACTCAAACAATACGATTATAACCATTGCTTTAAGTTTTTACCTACTATTTCTACCACCTCTGGTTTTGTTTATCATCTATTATCATAATTTCTGGATCAATTTCTACTGATCTCTCAGGCTGGAGACGGGGATTCACCATGTTGGCCAGGATGGTCTAGATCTCTTGATCTCATGATCCACCCACCTCGGCCTCCCAAAGTGCTGGGATTACAGATGTGAGTCACCGTGCCTGATCGAGACTTCCAAGTTTTTATACTGGAAGTCCTGTATCCCAAGAAACCCTTTGGTCCCAAGAAAGAAACCCTGTGTCCCAAGAAAGTCCCTGACAACCCACAATTGCTGATCAAGCTACTATGCAGGGAAGGGGCCCATCTATATCAGACCTGAACTTGGAGAAGGATGAACGTCTACGTGTATCCTTCTTTAGAGGACAAGTTCTGCATTAGGCTGAGAAGCAGAATCAGAACTGAGACTCTCATGTAAGTGGTTTATTGATGGAGTGCCCTTAGGAGAAGGGGAGTGAGGGAAGCAGTGTAGAGCAGAGAAAAAAAACTAAGTAAGAATGTGCTCTCAGAAGACTGACTTCAGCTTGATTCCATGAGAAGCTCTGGAAAAGGAAGTTCCTTGATGTAAGAGGTCACTCTTTTCGTACCTCCATATGAGAGGTAGCAATTCTTTTCTAGAGATGGTCTCAAAATTAGAGTACATCAAAATCACTTGGAGGGTTTGGTAAACCAGAATACTACACCAACCCCCAGAGATTCTGATTCAACAGGTCTGAGAATTTGTATTTCCAGCAAGTTCACAGGTAATGCTGATGCTGCACTTTGAAAACCTCCATTCTAGAGAAGAGGACAGCTGTGAGGTTTTAGTACCCACAGCATCTGGCAAAGGAGATCAGGAATGCACAAACTACTACATGAAAGCACATGCCAGAGCTAGATGGACTGGACCACAAGCTGGGGATACGCAGACTACATCTTTAGGTCAGAACATCTAGATGCACGGTATCTTGCTTGTTTCTGTTGTCATCCCTTGTATGTTTCTGTTGTCATCTCTTGCCAAAGCATTGTTGACACATTCTTACTTGGCCTTGTTATTGAACTTCAAGAGAAGGGTCTGGGAGGTACAGGAGGCTTTAAAGAGGGAGCAGCTGCAAGTTGCTAGGCAAATATAGTGGCATCAGTTGCAATGGAGTGGAAAGTCCTTAAATGGAAAATTAATATTTAGAGGCAACACTGTAAACCAACCTTGGAAATTGCCTGATGTTTGTGAAAGTAAAGGAAAATGGCTTTGATGGCAACTTTTAATTTCATAAGCCGTGCCAGAACTCTTGACAGTCTCTGCTCCTGAGGATCACCACCAGGTGAAGGTGAATGAATAAATGTTCAAATACATTCTGGTGGTTTTGGCAGGGTATACCAGGAAGAGGTCGTAGACCACGTTGTACCCCTGGGCCTTGATGTCCATCGCCAGGCAGTACAGGAGGTCGCTGCTGTCTAGGGCCGCCTTCCAGGGCCCAAACTTGACAACGGACTTCTCCTTATCCTGCAGAAAATGCAGGACCTCTGAATAACATGCATCCTGTTCCTCAGTTTCCATCAGGCACACAAGCACACTGGACTTCCGCGCTGTTATGGCCTCTGCACGCGCCAGGCGCACCATGAGTTCCAGGCTCTCGCTGTAGCCTGGCACTTGCAACAAAAACTGTTTCCGAGATACCTGCTCACCAAAAATCTCCGGCATGTCCTCCAGCAGCTTGACCAAAGGCCTGATTTCGTAGAACTGAGCCTCACGGTACACTTCAGGGATGTGCTGCGTGGGCACTTGCCCGATGCGCAGGTAGTCCAGGATGGGTCTGAAATAGGTGCCGGGACGGTCAATGAAGAAGCGGCCCTCCGCGTCCGTGCAGGCCTTGGCTGAGCTAGAGAACATCTCTGCCAATTTTGAGCCCGGGAACTTTCTCAAGGTGCCCAGGGTGGTGGTGTAGAACTCGCCCCCCACATTCAGCTCCACAACGGTAGACGTCTAGGGGCACAAAAGGCAGAGTAAACCACATACCATCTCCTCTGAGCTCATGACTCATTTTTATCCAAAGAATAACGGGATAAAAACCATAGGGGAACCATAATGATTGGCTTCAGCTAGTGAGAGGTCCACCTTACTGAAGACCGTTATATTTATGCTGTGTTGCTCTGTTGCTCCTGTGAGTGGGCTTTTGGGCTTTTTTTTTTTTTTTTGGATGGAGTCTCGCTCTGTCACCCAGGCTGGAGCGTAGTGGTGCAATCTTGGCTCACTGCAATTTTGCCTCAGTTCAAGCAAATCTCCTGCCTCAGCCTCCCAAGTAGCTGGGACTACAGGCACGCACCATCATGCACAATTAATTTTTGTATTTTTAGTAGAAGCGAGGTTTTGCCATGTTTGCTAGACTGGTCTCCAACTCCTGACCTCAAGTGATCCACTCACTTCAGCCTCCCAAAGTGCTGGGATTACAGGTGTGAGCCACTGCACCTGGCCAAGGGTGGGCATTTTAAGAAGAAGAAAAAAAGAACTCTATTTGAAAAAAGAATACCCATTCAAGCCTCTTAATTTTAGGTCATAGAATGTTATGGGTGGAGGGCAGGCACAGTGGCTCACACCTGTAATCCCAGCACTTTGGGAGGCTGAGTTGAGGCAGGCAGATCATCTGAGGTAAGGAGTTTGAGAAGCGCTTGGCCAACTTGGTGAAACCCCGTCTCCACTAAAATACAAAAATTAGCTGAGTGTGATGGCACACTGTAATCCCAGCTACTCAGGAGGCTGAGGCAGAAGAATCGCCTGAATCTGGGAGGCAGAGGCTGCAGTGAGGCAGGATCACACCACTGCACTCCAGCCTGGGCGACAGAGTGAGACTCCATCTCAAAAAACCAACAATAACAACAATAATAATAACAAAAGAATGTTATGGGAAGAGGCTGCCATGGAAGGAAGTCTCAGCAATAATACTTCCAAAGTCTGTGGCCTTTGGCAAGACTTTTTGCCTCTCAAGGCCTCAATTTCCTTATCTATAAAGTGGGGATATTGGCCAGGTACAGTGGCTCACGCCTGTAATCACAACACTTTGGGAGGCCAAGGTGGGAGGATCACTTGTGGCCAGGAGTTGGAGACCAGCCTGGGCAACATAGCAAGACCCTATCTCTTTTTTTTTTATTTTTTATTTTTTTATTTTTAAGATGGGGTTTCACTATATTGGTCAGGCTGGTCTTGAACTCCTGACCTCAGGTGATCTGCCCACCTCAGCCTCCCAAAGGGCTGGGATTACAGGTGTGAGCCACTGAGCCCAGCTTCAATTATATTTATTTATTTATTTATTTATTTATTATTTTTTTTAAGACAGGGTTTCACCATGTTGGTCAGGCTGGTCTTGAACTCCTAACCTCAGGTGATCCGCCTGCCTTGGCCTCCAAAGTGCCACTGCACTCCAGCATAGGGGACACAGGGAAACCCTGCCTCAAAGAAAAAAAAAAAAAAAAAAAAAAAGAAGCAGCTTCCTGCGCTGACATCTTCAGCACCATGTCTTTTTCAAACAAGATCTTAGCCCTGTTCCTGAGCTTCTTTTTGTTTTTTGGTTTTGGTTTTGGTTTTTCTTTGTTGTTGTTGCTGTTTTAAGACAGGGTCTCGGACGGGCGCGGTGGCTCAGCCTGTAATCCCAGCACTTTGGGAGGCCGAGGCGGGTGGATCACGAGGTCGAGAGATGGAGACCATCCTGGTCAACATGGTGAAACCCCGTCTCTACTAAAAATACAAAAAACTAGCTGGGCATGGTGGTGCGTGCCTGTAATCCCAGCTACTCAGGAGGCTGAGGCAGGAGAATTGCCTGAGTCCCGGAGGCAGAGGTTGCGGTGAGCCGAGATCGCGCCATTGCACTCCAGCCTGGGTAACGAGAGCGAAACTCCGTCTCAAAAAAAAAAAAAAAAAAAAAAAAAAAAAAAAAAAAGACAGGGTCTCACTCTGTTGCCCACGTATGTGCCCAGGGCCCTTCGCTTTCCTTCTCTGGGAAGTGCAGTGGTGTAATCTTCGCTCACTACGACCTCCACCTCCCAGGCTCAAGCATTCTCCTGCCTCAGCCTCCAGAGTAGCTGGGACTACAGGTGTGCACCACCACATCCAGCTAATTTCTGTATTTTTAATAGAGACAGGCTTTCGCCATGTTGGCCAGGCTTGTCTCGAACTCCTGAGCTAGGTGATCCACCCACTTCTACCTCCCAAAGTGCTGGGACTACAGGCATGGGCTACCACGCCTGGCTGAGAATACCTTTTCTGAAGCACATATCTGATCCTGTCACTCCATCCATTAAACACTTGAGTAACTTTTCATTCCCTTCCAGATAAACTCCAGACTCCATAACAAGGTTTGGAGGTCCTTTGCGACTGGGCTGCTACTTCACCCTTCGCAATTAGCTACCAGAACCACCTGCTGCTCCCTACCCCTCCAATCCAGAGCAGGCCAGGCCCCCTCACCTCCAGAAACTCACTTACTTGCCAACCACACTCCTTTCACTGACCCCACTCATCCTTCAAATGAATTCCTCTGGGAGTCCTTCTGGATAGGTTGTCGCATTATGATCCCAGAAGGTCCTACACTACTGTATTTCCACTGGCCTGGCCGGTCTTCCCTTGTAATTCCCTGTTTATTCATTGACTGTGAGGTTCCTGGCCAAGTGCTGTGTTTCACGCCTGTAATCCCAGCATTTTGGGAGGCCGAGGCAGGGAGATTGCCTGAGCCTATGAGTTTGAGACCAGCCTGGAGTCTCCACCAGGCGTTCTGTTCGAGATCAGCCTGGTTCTCACCAACATGGCAAGATTTTAACAAACAAACAAAAAGGCTGTGAGGCTCCCAAGGGAGGAGACTATCCTCTGATTTACAGGAGCACCTAGTATTCTGTTCAAACCCAATCTTGCCCTACCTGGCATCATGCACAGTGCGCTACACTTCCCCAGTAATTCATTTAGGCACTTATTGAGCACCTAGGGCGGTCCTGGCACTAGGCATGTGGCTTTGTCAATAGCCAACAACAACGATGTGATCGTGGCCCTATTAGAGAGAGCCACACTGCCCTGTTGCTGGATCTGCTTTCCCTTCCTCCAGGTCTTCAGGATGGCTCTCAGTCCAGGAGAGAATCTGAATGTTCTGCTCTCAGAGTGCACCCAGCCTTCCAGCCTTTTCTCCCATCCTCCTTCCCCACTCCCCTCACCCAAGCCTGGGGAGCAGGCAGGCAAAAGGGGGATTCAGGACCCAGCCAGAGGGCAGGGGTAGGCTGGAGACAGTGGGGCTGCAGGTGAGGGAAAGATCCTCTGGCCAAGCTGGTTGGATGGGTTTCTCCCACTGGGAGAGGCCCAAGGGAGAGGGAGGGGCAGAGGAGGAGTCGTGGAGTAGGAAAAGCTGCGGGGAGACAGAGGAGACACACCTGGAAAGGAAATAAAGACCCAGTGTAGAGGGAGAAAGCAAAAGGGCAAAGAGAAGAGGTTAGACAGAGCCAAACCAGGAACGGGCACGAGGCGCGAAAGGAGAGCGATCAGAGCAGGAGGAGCAGCAAAGAGAGAAGGGAGGGCCCAGCCGGAGGTGAAGGGAGACAGTGGCCAGAAGCAGGGGGCTCGGGCTGCTGGGAGGGACCGGCGGGAGAAACTGGAAGAGAGGGAAGAGGCCGAGGGTAGAGGCGCGGGGACGCTGCTGGCCTCGCACTTACCGTCGGCCGCCCGGGCCGGGGAGACTGGGGCAGAGGGGTCTGGCTCGTCATCCTGCCCTCTGGCCGCTCCACTGCGCAGCCCTGCCACGTGCAGATCACTTGGGCCAGCGGAAGTGCTCCTGGCTCCCGCCCCTAGATAAAGTCACCGAGGCTCTAGGCGGAACAGGGCTTGGCCAGGCGTGGTTTGCGGTAAGACCGGGGCAAGTGCGAAAGGAAATGAACAGTCTGTCTATTTGGGGCTTCTCAAAGTTGTTAGGCCGCGAGGAAGGCTGACTCTGGAGACCGAGAAATGGAGCAGACCCCTCAATGACTTGACCTTTTGATATAGATTGATTTTCTTCCTTTTCTTTCCTCCCACCTCAGCCTTCCAAAGAGGTGGGATTACAGGCCTGAGCCAGGCGTCTTGCCTCTTTCTTATTTTCTTTTTCCGCTCCGATCACATGACTCCCGAGATAAAAGACCCCATGACTGAGATAAAAGACCCTTTGACTATTACATCTTTTTTTTTTTTTTTGACATCTTAATGTGGAATATTAAACATACCTTTCCCAAACAGAAATACTGCTTATAACCAATCAAATTGCTGTAACTATACACTTATCTAATATGGAAAATGTTGAAATTCTGTTAAGCTTCCCCAGACCTTGGTTAGATAAATGACTCTCAAACCACTCTACTCAAGAGCACTGGCCTGGCAGGGTAGCTCATGCCTGTAATCCCAGAACTTTAGGAGGCCAAGGTGGGCAGATCACAAGGTCAGGAGTTCGAGACCAGCCTGGCCGATATGGTGAAACCCCATCCCTACTAAAAATACAAAAATTAGCCAGGTGTGGTGGTGGGCACCTTCAGGAGGCTGAGGGAGGAGAGTCACTTGAACCTGGGATGCGGAGGTTGCAGTGAGCTGAGATCGAGCCACTGCACTAGCACTGAACCCAGCTTATTGGAGCCTGTGTCCCCCACTACTGGCCATTCTCAAATTTTGTGCTTAAATAAATTAAATCGTTAAACATATTGCCTGAATCCTGTTACTAAAGTTGACACTAGTTAATATCCATCTCTGGGCCTCAGAGTCCCCAGTACTCAAATGGGGGAGGTGGAGGGAAATGACGTTAACTGACATTGACAACCAGAGACTTTCTACTCCCTGCAGTCTCAGGAATGAAAGATCAGCAACACCCATGTTACAGATTAGAAGAGTGGGGCTCTAGGAAGTAGGGTGGTGGCAAAATGTAAAATCTGAGGCTCAAAAAAAATTTTTTTAAGAGTGTCCTTAAGAGCCATGCGCAGTGGCTCATGCCTGTAATCCTAGCACTTTGAGAGGCTGAGATGGGTGGATCACCTGAGGTTAGGAGTTTCAAGACCAGCCTGGCCATCATGGTGAAACCCCATCTTTTGAAGAAAAAAAAAAAAAAGAGTGTACTTGAGTAACAGGCAATTCTTGAATTGGGGAACACCAGATGGAAAGAGGTTTAGTGTTCCCATGACAATGCATCAGAGGCAAATATTTATGGAAAAAAATGTGGAAGCAAGATATTTTATTGGGGCCGGGCGAGGTGGCTCATGCCTGTAATCCCAGCACTTTGGGAGGCCCAGGCGGGAGGATCACTTGAGGTCAGACGTTCAAGACCAGCCTGAACAAAATGGTGAAACCCTGTCTCTACTAAAAATACAAAAATTAGCCAGGAGTGATTGTGCCTGTAATCCCAGCTACTCGGGATGCTAAGGCAGGAGAATCTGTAGAACCCAGGAAGTGGAGGTTGCAGTGAGCCAAGATTGTGCCACTGTACTGCAGCCTGGGCAACAAAGTAAAACTCCATCTCAAAAAAAAAAAAAAAAAAAAAGATATTTTATTGGTTACAGTTACAAAATTGCCTTTTTTGGTTTACTTTGCTAAAAAGTCCCTAGTTACTTAATCATGTCAGTTGGCTGCTTGTGATTGGCTGATGTTGTTTTATTTCTGTCTAACATTAGCATTTATCAGAAATGACTGCATTAGTCAGACTTCTCTAGAGGGACAGACTAATGGAATAGGGCTGGGTGCGATGGCACACACCTGTAATCTCAGCACTTTGGGAGGCTGAGGCAGGCCAATCATATGAGGACAGGAATTCAAGGCTAGCCTGGCCAACATGGTGAAACCCCAAGTCTACTAAAAATACAAAAAATTAGCTGGGCATGGTGATGCATGCCTGTAGTCCCAGCTACTTGGGAAGCTGAGGCAGGAGAATTGCTTGAACCTTTGGAGGCAGAGGTTGCAGTGAGCTGGGATTATGCCACTGCACTCCAGCCTGGACAACGGAGTCTAAATAATAATAATAATAAATTAAAATATAATAAAAATGAAGACACCAATTAATACATGTACAATATACATTGGTTAGGTCCAGAAAGACTGAACAGCTAGAAGGGGTTGAGGGGTTTCCAGGTCATAGACAGATTCAAAGATTTTCTGATTGGTGGGCCAGTCATGATAACTCATTTCCGTAATCCCAGTACTTTGGGAGGCTGAGGTAGGCAGATAGCTTGAGCCCAGGAGTTGGGGACCGACGTGGGCAGTACAGCAAGACTCCATCTATATTTTTAAAATAAAAATAAAAAAGCAAGGATTTTCTGATCATCAACGGGTTATTATCTAAAGATCTGAGATCAATAGAAAGGCACTCTGGGTTACTATAAGGGGTTGTGTAGACCAAGGTTTTATTATGGAGATGAAACCTCCAGGGAGCAGGCTACAGAGAGAATAGATTGCAAATTTTTGTTATCAGACTTAAAGGGACTATTCTGTCAGTCCTAAGGTCTCTGTTTTTATGGTAATACTGGTCAGCTGTGCCTGAATTCCGAAAAGGGGAAGGTCATAATGAGGCATGTCTGACCCCCTTCCAGTCATGGCCTAAGCTAGTTTTTCAGGATAACTTTGGAATGCCCTTGGCTGGGACGAGGGGTCCAGTCAGATGGTTGGGGGGCTGAAATTTTTATTTTGTCTTTTTTTTTTTTTTTTTTTTTTTTTTTTTGAGACAGAGTTTCACTCTTGTTACCCAGGCTGGAGTGCAATGGCGCGATCTCGGCTCACCGCAACCTCCGCCTCCTGGGTTCAGGTAATTCTCCTGCCTCAGCCTCCTGAGTAGCTGGGATTACAGGCACATGCCACCATGCCCAGCTAATTTTTTTTGTATTTTTAGTAGAGACGGGGTTTCACCATGTTGACCAGGTTGGTCTCGATCTCTTGACCTTGTGATCCACCTGCCTCGGCCTCCCAAAGTGCTGGGATTACAGGCTTGAGCCACCGCGCCCGGCTTTATTTTGTCTTTATAGTACCCAGTATATATCCTTGATGTGGTGTGAGGAAAACGATCTTCCTCCCCAAAACTCATAATCTCAGTTCAATCATGAGAAAAACAGCAGAGAAATTTCAATAGAGGGACATCTTATGGTATCACTGGCCAGTACTCCTCAAAACTATCAAAGTCACCCAAAACAGGAAAAATCAGAGATTGTCACAGCCAAGAACATTCTAAGGAGATATGACAACTGAATTGTAATGTGGAGCAAGGCATAGTGGTTCATGCCTGTGATCGCAGCACTTTGAAAGACTGAGGTAGGCAGATCACTTGAGCCCAGGAGTTTGAGACCAGCCTGAGAAACATGGCAAAATCCCATCTGTACATAAAATACAAAAATTAGCTAGGTATGGTGTCGCATGTGTGTAGTCCCAGCTACTCAGGAGGCTAAGGTAAGAGCATTGCTTGAGCCTGGGAGGTGAGAAGAGACAAATTGGGTTATTAAAATACATGTATAAAAACAACGTTGGGTGCAGTGGCTCATGCCTGTAATCCCAGCACTTTGTGGGGCTGAGGTGAGTAGATCACTTGGGTCAGGTGTTCTAGACCAGCCTGACCAACATGGTGAAATCCCATCTCTACTAAAAATACAAAAATTAGCCAGGCGTGGTGGTGCATGCCTATAATCCCAGCTACTTGGGAGGCTGAGGCAGGAGAATCGCTTGAACCCAGGAGACGGAGGTTGAGGTGAGCCAAGATCTTACCATTGCACTCCAGCCTGGGCAACAAGAGCGAAACTCCATCTCAAAAAAAAAAAAAAAAACCACTTAACATGATAACCTTAATTATGATTGATAGCACATACTCAGACATTAGAGTTTCAGAAATCCCATATAATTTTGGAACACGTATTAATAGTATTCACTAAAATATAGCCTGAAGAAGGTTAAACCCCTATCACCTGACAGGATTATTTTTATTTTGATAATTCTATGTAACTAAACATGTTAAATAATCCTGGTTACCTCTCTTTTGGATGCTCCAGGGGCCCTCTGTAGCATCCAAAAATTAGGGGTGTGGTTAATTCCATTTGTCCCCAGGCCTTACCGAATTGTAAAGCAGGCAAGTCAAGTAGTTCTCAAAAGCCAAAGAAGGGGGTTATAGCCTTAAAACATTTAGCAAACCTAGTACCTGACCTGCATAATTTAGATCACATATTTACATTTTGAAGCCATTTGTTTTTTTTACCATTTTAAAACTGTTTTTATGAGGGGTGAGAGGAGGAAAAAAAACCTGTTTTTATTTCTCAAAGATTAAAGTCACTTGAATTAAAAGCCTCCCAAAGTGCTGGGATTACAGGCCTGAGTCACTGCACCCAGGCTTTTCTAGCCTCTCTATCTATAGGTGGGCTGCTTGACCTCAAGAGCTGGGCATGGTGGTTCAAATCTGTGATCCCAGCATTTTGGGAGGCCGAGGCAGGAGGATCTCTTGATTCTAGGAGTTCGTGACCAGCCTGGGCAATATGGTGACACTCCATGTCTACAAAAAATACAAAAATTAGCTGAGTATAGTGGCTCATGCCTGCGGTCCCAGCTACTTGGGAGGCTGAGGCAGGAGGATCTCTTGAGCCCAGAAGTTTAAGGCTGCAGTGAGCCGAGATGATACCACTAGACTCTGGCCTGGGCAACAGAGCAAGACTCTGTCTCACATTAAAAAAAAAAAAAAAAAAAAGGCTGGGCGCGTTGGCTCAAGCCTGTAATCCCAGCACTTTGGGAGGCCGAGGGGGTGGATCACGAGGTCAAGATCGAGACCATCCTGGTCAACATGGTGAAACCCTATCTCTACTAAAAATACAAAAAAATTAGCTGGGCATGGTGGCTTGTGCCTGTAATCCCAGCTACTCAGGAGGCTGAGGCAGAAGAATTGCCTGAACCCAGGAGGTGGAGGTTGCGGTGAGCCAAGATCGCGC